AAGGCTTTTTAGGGTGCAAAATGTAACACGTGTTTATTTATTACTCCAACCAGACTCCCCGCTTCTCAGACTCTTGCCTACATAAATATATAAAGGGATGTCTTTTGCAACTTTGTTCCTAAAGGCAAAAATTGGTAAAACCTAAATATCCATCAGTAGAACGAAGTTTAAGTAAATCGTGTTTATCTGCTCTAAAGGGGAAAGGGCTCTAGATCATGTTGTTGAATGAAGACGATTTGCTCAACAATCTGAACAGTGATGACCCTGCTTATATAAAAATAAAATACACAAATGTTTTGGTACCCGGATGCATGTTAACTTAATGAAAAAACCACCTGGAGGATACGCATCAAAATGTTAAGACGGGACATTTCTGCAAATGGAGTGACATACCAGAAGGAGCAGAGTGAGTAAAATGGTCTTTTTAAATTTTATATCTGTCACAATTATAAATACAAAAGGTGTTGTTTTTTTTTTAACTTGAATATGTATCTATTTATGTGGATGATTAAGAAAAACGTTTAAAAGAACAAAAGTAATCCAAGTTTTGAAATTTTATAACCAAACGCAGTTCCTTCCCTTAGTATCTCAGGGAAGATCAAGACATTTTCCAGATGCGGATCTGGCACTACTTTATAGTGTTAATGAGATTAAGTATAAGCACTGCCATCTCTGTTCCGGGAACCCCACTAACATAACAGGGTTTTAGTTTTAGTTTGTTGCTTCTACAAGAAACTGAACTCACCTCTATTCTACCAGACACTAAAGTGACTTGGTACCTGTCCCCGCTTTTTAGATGCAAGTTAATCGAATGACTTCCTCTCCTATGGCCATCTCTTAATCCCTCAGTCTTTTAGTCATTAATGAACACATTCCTCTTGTGGCCCAAACTTCCTTGGAATCACACGACCAGTGGCCAGGAGAGCCTTCTGTTTTCTCAGTGTGCAAAGGAAGGAGATAAGAGCCGGATCCCGTGCCAGACGCCTTCTGCTGTGCGTTTGCTCTTCATTTCTGAGTCTGGCAACCTTTGTCCACTGTGCACATCTTCTTAGGAGAGAGCCAAGATGAGCCTGCTTTGGTAATTACTTCTCCCAAATTTTTGCCCCTGGGCTACAACACCTCGGTGATTTAAATCCTTTCTATTAGTTTTCCTGGTGCACAACCACGGTCTGAATGCCAACTAGTTCAGTATTTAAAAAGAGCTCCCCAAATAGAAAGTTTCATCTCTTTGGACTTCCATTTCCTTAAGACATGTCTCCTTCTACGGCTCTCGTGTCTACCTCTTGACTACCTCTCTCTCACTTTTAACACACCTCCTTCTCCTAATCCTCTTGAACTCATCTTCACTTTATCCATCACTTGCGGAACAGTTTCTTTATCATGTAGGAAACACAATCTATTTATATCGACAAGGTGAAACTTGTTAATCAAGTCTTTACCTACTTACAATCCCATCATCTAGAAATCTGTCCCATAGGGTAGCCAACTAGCTACCCTATGTGGCCATTTAAGTTAAATTTAAACTAACGTAAATAAAATTAAGTTTAAAATTCAGTTTCTCATTCTCACTAACCACATTTCAAGTGCTTAATAGCCAAAGGCAGCCAGCGTCTATGGTCTGGACAGCACAGATATACATTATTATCATTGCAGAAAGTTCTATTGGACAGCCTTGGTTTAGGTATTTCAACTACAATAATACCTAGATCCTTGGGAGATTTCAAAACTTTAACAGCAAGAAGAAACTGGATCTTGGGAAAGCAGAAAATGCATTAATTAATAATGAATGAAACAAATTCACTGTATCTACAAATAAGTATATAAATTTCCCCAAGTAAATAAATTTTCTATAAATCTTGACATTGCAATTTAACAACCCAGTAATAATCTCTTTATAAACATTACATACACTGGCTGGATTATAACACTTTCTTTTTTTGATTCTGGAATAATCTATAGGTTTTCAGAATTATTCTTTAAAAAAGAACATTGATGAAGCTGCCAACGCGCTCCTTCTCATTTAGGTATAAACAAATTTGAAAGGCTTGGATGAACAGGAATGTAGGAATGTTTCCAAATTAGTGTAAAGCCCTTCGAATGGTGAGCCAACCGTACATCCTCCACAGGTGACAAGGGGGCTGTCTCCCCACTTGCCAAGCACCTATTCATCTGTGAGCCTGCTTGGCTCTCAATGCCTCATGAAATCTGCCTGAAACAGTCCCCTTCCTGCATATAACACTCCAGCATTAACCTCTCCCTGCTTTGTCCAACGACCTTCTCCTGTGCAGACTTCTATAACTGTGCACATCCCACTGTATTCTAGTTACCTACTTACATGTCTGTCTTCCTCGCATGGTTGGAAGCTCCTTGGGGGCAGGAAAGTGACCAACTCTTATTTGTATTCCCAGCACCTAGCACTGTGTCTAACACATAGAAAGTTCTCAATAAATATTTGTTGGATTGAGCTGAGCAAATTGAACTCAAGGCTATAGTCCTGGTTTTCATTCTACTCTGACTCAAAGTCTTGCTGTCAGGTATTTGAAGTGTAATTAGTGTAATTTGCTTTGTCACTATCTACATTTAATTAGGAGACATTTGAATTAATTTGAAAAGTTAGCAGGAGCTATTACAAGGCTATGATCCATTTGGCTGTTGGTAGGTAGCCTAACTGTATTTGCTTTCTTGGCAATAGTAGTCTCCTAATTCCTTGGGGGAAAAAATAGGATTTTTCTTTTGGCTCAAACAGACTAATGAATGAGATTTCCAAGTGAAAAAAATCAACGATTTTGTTCAATCTGAATTCTCCAATATTTTTCAAAATATACAAATAAATCATTGAATGAGATTCGGATTTGATGAGCCAAAAGACAATGGAAAGTATTGTCAATATTTAAAATTCAGACAAATTGTCTAAGTGTCGCCAAGAAAATGTCAGTTGATTTCTGTGCCTAAGAAACTTGACTTATAAAATGGGTAAACACTCAGACTTCAAAAGGGAATCCCAAATATGTCATATATTGTCAAAAGATCATTAATTCATAGGGATGTGATTTTAAAAGCAGAATTCCAATAATCTTGACTAAAAGTCTTGTATTAGCAATCCAAATATGAGATATAATAACTCAACACTAGATGCAAACTGTGAAATTTGGGAAAATGATTTCCTAACCAGGAAACGAAGGGCCCTTTTAGTGTTATGATAATATCAAGAAAGTCAACTGGAATTTTTTCTCCTCTAGGAGCCTAATGGTTCCTTTGATATCAGTGGAATACCACATTTTATAACAATTATGTTGAGGGACAGAATGAACACTATCTCTAAATTTATTAAGGGATTTATAGAACAATTTTGTGATTCTTCTTTATTTAGAGCACCACCCTACAGATTACATTTGTACAGAGATTCAGAATTTCCAAATGCTTACATATGCATTATTGCATTTAATGCAAATTGTTCGTAGACATGATTAGCCCAATTATTCAAGCAACATCTGCTCGGTTTACATACTATTTATGAAATTTCCCTCCCTTCTTTTTTTTTCCTTTCCGGACTGAAATTTGATCATTTTCTTTCTTATTAGTCTTGTACTAACGACAAAAGAGGACAGAAGATAAGGAGGGGAAATTCAAGCTGATCATATTTTAAAACTTATAGAGTTCTTTTAGGGAAAAAAATGACTGTGAATATTAAAACTGCGAGCTAAATTAAGGCTCTAGTGAATAGAGACATTAATTTAAGTGATTTAAATTATTTCAATGTTTGTGGTTTAATACACTTAATCTACGACTTATAATGAATAACATCATTTTATAATTATTATTTCTTTTATTTAGGACTGTGAGCTCGGATGATTATTCCCATTATTTCTGGTGAGAAAACAGGAATATGGAGAGACAAGGTCGATCTGTCCAAGCTGAGGTCAGGATTAGTGGCTAAGTCATCTGATCCCAGTTGATCATCCCATCCCCGAAATGAGCGTTTCTCAAGCTTTGGCTGTGTCAGTGCCTGGAGGTCTTGTAAAACACAGATGGCTGGGGCTCAAGTTTCTGATTCTGCAGGTCCAGGGTGGGGCCTGAGAATGTGGATTTCTTTAAAAAGGTGCTGCAGACGCTGCTGCTGCCACGGGTGGTCTGGGACCCCACTTTGAGAAACACTGCTTTAAGCCAGGGCTGCCCCCCTCAGCTCGTTGTACATCCCACTAAGCTGTAAACCACATCGCAGCAGAGGGAGTCTCCTCGATAGTGTTGACCCTCTCCATCCCTGCTCCCACTGCCAACTGGTCACCATCCCAGGGCCTGTGCATACCTTGTACTTGTATACACCACAAGAACACTGCCTGAATGAATCGGCTTCCATTTCCCCATGGTGTTAGAAAAACAACAGATAGGTCAAGTAAAACATGTAAGTAATCTTTTTTTGTAGGGTCCATTAGGTTAAGATGTTTGATTCTTTTTTTCTCTTCTAAGCCACTGAATTTAATAAGTGAGACAAAGAGGGACAGGACAGCAAGGAAAACTGTCGCCAAGTCCCAAGCCGTCCAAGGAGCCCTTTATGCCCTTGAGGAATCTGAGTCCCCATGACATAATGTTAAGACCCCCACGTATGGGTATTCTCCCCAAACTCGCAATATCACCATTGGCATCAGCCAATACTATCCCAGCTTTGTGAAGGGGGACTAATTTGTCCTTATTCCTTAGAAATAGGTGACAGTCCTTAGCATCGCCCACTCCAAATCACTTCTGCAACTCCTTCCTTTGGTCACAAAACGTGTCACTTTAAGTGGGCATAATCCTGTTAATTGTTTTCAGAATACTTGGGGAACACAGATCCTATGCTTTTTGAGAAAAGTGGCCAGACTGTGATGCCCCACAGTTAATTAACTGGAGAACGAAGATCATGCGAACCACGACAGTCTGTGTTACATCCCACTGGGGAAAACATAATAGCTGCAAGAAATGCATTACTGGCAGTCGGTTAATGTTCAACATCACGGTCTTACCTATGCACACTAGATCCATAAAACCATACATTCCATAGCAGATCTGAAAAAGGATGTCCTTCCTCTGCCACACTGCATAGGGGCTGAAGGCTGACCAGAGGAGCCAGGTCACACTCGCTATTAAGAACAGGGATCCTAGGATTACAGCAATCATCTGAACTTTCTCAACCAGTGTTATAGAAATGCTTTGCCACTAAAAGAAAAACAGAGGCATGTAAGAAAAAGGTGCTGTGTATAAATTTAAAAGGAAAAAAAGAAAACATTTCAGCCCCATGTTTCTCTTCATAATGTTAGACCCCTTTCAATCTGATCGGCCCCCAAATGAGTTTTTTCCATTTCATCCAGGCTATACAAAAGAGACAAGCAGATAAAGATTAATGAGTTGCCTTAACTTCATTATTCTCAGTGATTCACCATTCTGCAAGTTTAATCTGGTTTTGCTCCAGATAACAGTATTGAGTGTGAATGGCTGAGGAATATTTAGTACCTGAGGATCACATTATCATCTTTCACGCATGCATGAAATTAAAAACACTCCGAAGAAACACGGTGAGGTCTCCTCTATTTGGAAATTTATTTTGCTCTTAACGTATCTGGCTACTGCAAAAAATGGAATTTCTTGTTTTTGTGGAAAAATGTAATAAGCAAATCAGTTATGTAAGAACATCAGTGAAAAGTTATTTAAGATAAAACACTAGAATCATTATAAGGGAACTATAAAATTGTATATTATCTGTTATTGGTGCATTTCATGTACTCACATATTACTGACTTTTAATTACTTATAGGGTAATCCATGAAGCCATTTTTGTCAAGATTTAGAATTTGTATGCAAATGGAGTACCTTTAAAACTCAAACTGTATAAAAGACACACTATTCAATTGGGAAGGAAATCCGAGAGGATTTACAGTATAAATGTTCAAAAATCTTTCAAGAGTGTTATCAACTTGAGCTAAATTAATTAAGTCATCTTCTCGCTTTCGCATAATTGAGACAGAAGCAAAACTAAAATTGCTGTTATGGCTTGCCAGTAAACAGTGAAACGCAAAACAACCTGTACGTCCTCATTCTGTGCGAAGAGCCCTGTTGCACCATATGGCTTGTCAAAAGAATTCCTCAACGGTTTAAATAACCTTTAAAAACAACTGTGCTTAAACAATCAGCATCCACGAGGTGCATCTGGTATTTTCTTAAACTCTTTTTACTTACCTTAAGTGTGATTATGTGCATTCCCAAGGCAAGTCACAACTTCGCCCGCCCCCCTGACTGTCTCTTTCAGCCTAAGTAATTCACATAAAATATTTAGGTATGCATTTGACCATGCGTATCCATGAATACTCTTAAATTTTACATCAACTGAAGATTTGATATCAAAGTGCATCTGAAATATTTTGTTCTTTAAAGTCATTTACATTATTTTTCTTTTAAAAAACAGAACCAAATGACAAAGGTGGGTGGAGGTCTATAAGATAGATATTTCTAATTATTTCAATGTGAAGATTCATTTATGGAAAAATGGTTCTTGCTTTTACAGTTCTGGATGAATCATAATTAAACTAGTCAATATTATTTTATCATTACAAATCAGTCGGTGCTGTATTTCAAGCATGTATTTGAAGTTGTCTTTTCTCTAACTTCCTGGCATAATTTTAAACACATTAATTTCAAAGTGCCGGACATGTGAATTTTAACCCATTTTAAATGTGATGTCACCAAACAAGTGTGAAGTGTCAATGTCCGTTGTTTTTTAGTTTTGATCTGCGTTAAATACAACTATGTGGCAAGCAACATAGAAACCCGCTTCCAACTGGCAACTGGCATACATCACATCCTAGATGGGCACTACCAGGTCTATAGGCATTAGGTTACCCTTTATCGATTTATTAACCACATCAGATAGATGGAAACAAATCATACTTTTAGATCCATGAGGCAAAGGTGTCCAACGTGTGTGTGTGTGTGTGTGTGTGTGTGTGTGTGTGTGTGTGTGTGTGTGTTGATTTTCACCTCAAATGTGTAGGCCACATGTTTTAAAATGCATATGCCTGAATCACAAGAGTCTCCAGTAATCAAAGATGAGTAAAGAGGATTCACCAAGAATAATCTTTACTGAAATCTGTTTTCTTTCTGCCAGTAATCTTTTTTGTTCCAAATTCATTACATATTTTTAGTGGAGTTAAATTTGGACATCTCATTAGTGTATGGTTAATTATATTCAGCTTCAATTAGGCTTACTAATTAATTGATCCGAGACTACCTTTCAGAAACAACGTGGTAGCCATAGACTCTACTAGACACTCATATTTGGGTGAACTGGTGGGGTTGGCTTTACACGGCTGTGGTAACTCCTTTGACACAGGAAATTGTGGTGGCTGTCATCTCAGAGTCAGCATGACTGCAAGGAGTGGAAGGCCATGCTCAGGTGGCAGGCTGCTGGCACATGAGGCTTAGCTATTCCTTAGCAGCAAAGGTGAATGATTAAAGGGACAGACTTACTAGAATAAGGAACAATGATGCTTCACATTTGTTTGGTGATACCAAATTTAAAATGGTTTAAAATTCAAATACCTGGCAATTTGGAATTAAAGTGTTCAAAATTATGCCAGGAAGCTGGGGGGCGGAAAGAACAACTCTTGACTACAGTACATTGGGAAGCTTAATTATTGACAATTATCATAGCTATTACTTTTCATCATGGATATGAGAATTTAAGATTTTTGAGGCTTATTTTTAAGGAATAAACTTCAAATCTGTAATGAGCTCACTGAAATTTTTCATTTTATACCTCTTCGCTAATAACGCAGATCTACCTGAAAGTCTGTGATGGTCTGTCTTCCTTTAACCGATGAATCAAAATAGTGCTTAAAATTAGCACTATTTCACTGAATGGCTAATAGGAGCAAACCATTACTGAAACCAAAATGATTAAACCAATTATGAACACAGGCATTTCCCTTTGAACACCAACATTATCTTGGTAATTTCTTTGTCCACTGTATGCTGCTCTTTCTTATTTTTGCCATTATGTGCAAAAAGCGGGGTCATTCACATTCTTCCCACAGGAAAAATAATGCTGCATCCCACCACAAGGAAACATCATCCAGAATCCTTGCGCTGGGAGGCACACGTTACCTACAGGCTCAGCCTCAACAAGCTGTGCTAATGGACCATTAGCTTGGACAATAAAAATAGAAGATGAGTCTCCTGGGCTTCTCTCTCTACCCCAGTGGTCTCCGAAGCCTGGATTTCAGTTTGTAAGACAATTCTGAATCTTAAACAAAATTTGTCAACTTTTCTCCTCTAAAACCCGATATATATGTTATGTATATACACTTTTCTCTTTGGATTTTTTTGTTTGTTTGTTTGTTTAGGTGAGACAACCCTTGGTTGACCTCACAGAATGCAAGGACCTTGTCAGCTTACAATCCCTTATTTTTTATTTTTTACACCTACAGCATCCAGTCTTCCTAGCTGGTCTCCCATCTAAGTACCAACCACGCCCGACCCTGCTTAGCTTCCTATATTAGACGGGATCAGGCTTGTTCAGGGTGGCATGGCCGTAGACTACACTTTTCTCACCTAAATTTCTTCCCAAAATTGGAAAGGGAAGTAACAGAACAATACCTAGATTGGCTCTAAATAACTGCTATTTTTTTTCTTTCTTTCCTTAGCATTTGAGTATGTGTCGACACTTTCATATTCCTGAAAAAGCTGTTCACATCTATACAAACTATGGGACCTATTGTTTCTAGCAAAAGTGGAACCCATTAGCTCCTCTTTTGGCAGTCCATCCTCATTTAGTGAACTGGAAGTAACTTAATAATCATAGCCTCTATTTATCTGGGGCTAATATGCGCCAAGCACTTTTCTAAGATGTTACACTATTAACTAATTTTACCCTCATGACAATTCATTTAGGGAGGTACTTTTATAATCCCCATTTCGTAAACAAGTCAACTGAATCAGAAAGAAGGAAGGGAGGGAGAGAAGGAGGGAGGCAGGGAGGGAGAAGGGAGGAAGGAGGAAAGAGGCAGGGAGGAGACAGTAGGTACATCCCACAATTTTGTTTCATTTGACTTCTTTGCGTTCCCACAAATGCCACGTACTTTTTACTTTGGCCCCTCTCCGCCTTTGAGTGGGTTCCTTCCTCAGCATGCAATGCCCTCCTCCCCTTTCTTCACTTGATGAAATCTCTCATCCATCCACAACTGACTCTAATGTCATCTAAACCCATCTCCCTCGTGCCATGCCTCTTCTTAAGCAGAATCCCTCATTCTAAACTCCACAACTCACTGTTTATACTTTCTGTTTAGTGCAGATTTCCTTCTCACTTGGATCCCAGACAGGTGTTTATCTCTCTATTGTTCGGGGACTGCAGGTTTCATAACAGCAGAAGCTGAATCTCATCTCCCCGTATGTTCACCAAATAACTGAACACACTGTTGGGGCCCAGGGCAGGCTACGCCATAATATCCCACAATGGCATATTGATTACTTTGAATTAAAGTTACTTGACAAGGAGCCAGTGCCAGACACACTGGCCCTCCCTTGCTTTGAATGCAGGATATAAATCTCCCCTGCAAAAGGTGCCCTACTTGCTCTGAAGAGCGATGGGGGCAGGGGAGGAGGTTCCTAAGAGAGGCACTCCTATCACTAGAGTTAAGGAATCTAGGGCCAAAAAGCTTACATAAACAAAACTTGTTACTCCTTTACTACCCAAGCCCAAACTTTAATTAGATTCCTCATTAACGAACACCCAAATTTAAGGATATCTGTCCTGTCGATTCATCACAAATTTACGGCTTCTTTGCCTATAAAAGCTGCTGGCTCATCAATCCGAGAGCATTTATGATCTCCTACATGCACATATTAAACTGGTGTTTCTCCTGTCAATCTAGCCTTTTTTCAATTATATAATTAGTCCACCCATAAGAATTTAAGAAGGGTGGAAGGGGAGAACTCTTCCCCTCCTTGACAAAATCCAGTAAATGCTTTAAATACACAGTATCCTGACTTGGGTTTCCATCATCTCTCTGACTGCCAGATTGACATCCTCTCCATATCTATCATTCTAAAACTGCCTACGAGATGAAGTTCCATCTTTGTCCAAACCACCAGTAAGTAGAGAAGAGAGAAATCAAACTAAGATCTGTTTCGAAAGCCTAAGATTTTTTCTAAAATGCCTTTCTCTC